GGGCTAACTCCTAAAAAAGGTGATTTGAGGTAATTTTTAACTACTTGAGTGTGATTTGTGTTTTTGGGAAAGGGGGAGGGGGTGGTTGAGTAGGGGGACAAGTATTCTTTTTATATGCCACTGAGTAAAGCATTTTGCATTAAAATCTCTTGGGGTGGCCATGCAACCAAGCTTAGACCCACATTAGTATGTAGTTAACTATAACTGCTGAGCAAACAAAAACTGAGGACTATGCCAGTCACAAAAACATCCTGTATGGGGCATTTTTCAAATAGATGAACATATCTTACAGATTCTTGGCAGCACCGAAGCCACCAGGAAAGATAACGGCATCATGATTATTGACATCTAGCGTAGAGAGAGCTGCAATCTTACCACGAGCAATTCTTGCCGATTCCACCAGTACATTTCTGAGGTGAAAAAGCGGAATATTCCATAGAGAATATATTTAATGATATACTGTCTGTAATAAAAATAATGGATGAAATCATTGAACTACAGGTGGAAATCAAACATAATGTCACCCTTGAGACTCATTTGTTACTACTGTATATTAGTAGGGAGCTTTGAATTTGTGATGACATAGAACGTAGAATGCAATGACGTAATGTTAATTTAACTGCGCAAGTCTGGATGTTACGCGTTACGCTCTTTTCTGAACTCTGGAATGGTTTTTGGCCGAATCTATCAGGACTATACTGAATTAAACATTTGTGCGTCAGTCTTTTGCGTTCATGGCATATCAACGCATGTGTCATAACAAAATCGAAATTGATTTCAAGTAGAACGTAAAACATTTATGTTCCCTCTCTATGTTCTCAATTGAAAGCTCCATATTATTACCAAATGTTCCATCTGATCATAGGCTTAGCCAGCGAGCCACCCGGCCGTCTTTTGGACGGCAAACAATTATTTAGGACAACCACTTTGACCGTGATGGCTTAGACGGCTTGGCCTAATCAGCTTGGTATATCCTAATTGGGCCTGGTCTACCTTTAACAAATTCTTTATATTCTTCCAAGCTATCGAATGTTACACTAAACTAAAGCTAAATCATATTTACGTTTGATAAAAAAAAACCTTTATTGATTGAATGTACAGTACATTGTTTTTATACCAACATTCGGTGGGGATTCCCAAAAAGGTAACCTACCACTGCCTAATCAGTGAAAAGTTCACACATCACAAGTTTAACACACATCGTGTTAAAAGATTTATACCCCGCTGGAAAATGGACGGTTCTCAGTCGCCCACAACGCATGCACGTGGCTCTGCAAATACGATATTTGAGTTTCGGCTCCCCGACACAATACTGTTGATGTTCGTAACTCTCTGGTTATAATTAATTCATGAAATACCATAAAGAAGATAAAAATACAATAGGTCTCGTCCTATCTCTTGATTCGGAGGACCTAGAGTAGAATTTCCACTAGACTATAGCCCCTATCGCACTGGACTTAATTTGGTCAAATTAACCGAGTCACTGGCTAAATTGACCAAAAAAAATCCAATCCGAACATCGGTTACAATTCCCTCAGGGTTAAATTAACCAAGCCGAATGGTTAATTTTACCGACCTCAGCCTGCCCAGTAAAACTTACCACGGTCTCGGTAACGTGCAACACGGTTAAAACTTTCTGAGTTCATGACCTTCGGTACCTCACGTATGCGCTTTAATCATCTGACATTTCGGTGTTGATTTTCTGTTTTCTCATATGTTTAAGCTTTCTCTACCTCCCCATAAAGTTATCAAAGTTATAGTTTCCTCGTATGTCCAGTCTCGGTTTTTTTTTGTTTTTTTCCCTGAAGCCATTTTGTCTTCTTCCATGTTGACACCGCTCGAACAAAACTGGAAGTTGAAGTCACAAACTAGCGCCCTCAATAATATTTTTTATACACAAGGTTAAATCTTGGTAAAACTATGGTAAAACTAACCGGTATAATATCTTCTCAGAAAAAGAAAAGAAATTCATAATACAGGGAAATTAATAATAATTAATTTATTTAAAAACTGGAAAGGAGTTGGGAACCAAACGACCCAACCTAGACTAGTTAGTTAGGCTGAAACGACTAGGCTTAGGGCCTGGCCTCAGTTCTTTCTAACTACTCTTTCTAGAGGGGATGCACCATTGAGGTGCTGCAGGAGCCTGTCTATCCACATGAGAGAACATTGCAACAGTCCGAAAATTGAGAAGAAAAAGATGTTTGCATATTTGATACACATTTTAAATGATGACCCACCAAGGAGGTGCTGACCAAGCTATCCTGCACTGGACAGTGACCAGGGTAGTCGTGTCATTAACAACGGGAAGAGGGCGCCTACCGCTAAAAGCTAGGCTAGCTCGGCAAAGCCTAGCCTAGTGTGGCTGTAGGCCCTATATAGTAATATAGCCTGGCCTAGGGCCAAGCCTGTAAGGTTAACGGCTACTGCCAGGCTGGGTAATGCACTGCAAACTTTCTTACCACAGCAACTCTAGCCTGGCTATGAAGGTCTCTTGATCCAGACATACTGTTGCAAACACTGCTCCGAAGAAGGTGAATATACAATGGCTTAGTCCAAGATTGTACTCGAGACAACATGTTCCAAACTCACAACCAACACGAACCTAGCTGCCTGTCCCCAAAATCCGGTGACGGCGCTCTGTCTGATTCGTCGCAGAATAGTACAAAAATCGAACCTCACGATGGACCGCCGAAAACACCAAAACATCACAAAGTATTTTATTTTGTATACGCCCTCCATCGAAACAAATTTATATACAGTATTACAATATATTTATATTAAGAATATATGTTTGTTTGTAATTTAAAAATAGATTGATTTTATCTCATGGTCCTTAAGTAATATGATCGGTGGTCTAGGATTCTTGAAATGGGAGAAAATTCCCCATCTTGTAAATTTTGGCTTAGCGAGGATTCAAATCTTAATAAACTGTGTTAACCAGTGACTTTGATTTCTAGGTAGGCCTATGTCCAATAAGCGACGTTCAATGGTAAACCTGAGGCCTATTTTTTTTATTCATTCAATTAGGCCTGTATAGTCATTTTTTTCATAATGTACTTTTGCAATGAATTATAATTGTTACAAATTAGTATAATGTAACTTCATACGTCAATAGGCCTACCACTGTATACTATCACATGAGCTTTTTCAACATGGGAATTTGCCCGAAGGTGTATACCGTATACGTGTTATGCCCCCTTTTCTCCAATTTTTTTATTCAAAAATATGTACGTATCTTAGCAGTTCCCTATTCTTCAAACATACAAATGAAAATGGTGAAACATAAACTGCACCAGGAGTGTCAATGTCCTATATCATAACTGGATGAAATAAATGCATGCTAATTATTTGTCGGTTAATAAATACAGTATACAAGAGCACACATGCCTAATAATGACTAGTATGTTAACAGAAACATCGGAGCCAGCCATCTTAGGGGTCCGAATTACCGAAATGAAACGAAATTACTCAAATGATACCCAAATGAAAGGGAATTTAATACCCAAACGATACCAAAATGAAACAGAATCACCCAAATGATCAAAACACAAATGAATTGAAATGATAGCCCAAATGACTCGATGGTTATGTCGTTTATACCAAGCTAAACTTTAAATATGATGTTATTTGGTATAGCCTTGTTATATGAATTTATTATTTTGTAAAGTTTGTATTCCTTTATTCATTACTGACGTGTGTATATTATTTGTCAAACCATTCGTTTTAGTATTTCTAACGTTTATTATTAAAACCTTTCGTATTTTTAACATATAATTTATGTCAAAATTATTCGTATTGGTATTTATAGCGTGTTTAATCATTGGATAATAATTAATATTTTTCATCTATATAATTTATTCTGTTAATAGGCCTAATTTCTAATTATTTTTGTTTAATGTATCTGCATCGTGTTATTTTATTTAAATTATTCATTCATTTCATCTGTTTCTAATGTTACTTGCGTAATATTTCTGGACATGCATTACTTCTTTATTCATACAGACGTAACTTTTGTTAATCATTTATTTAATCATCTATACACAATTTAATACCGGTAGTTTATTCATTTCAGGCGTATTTGGGCTCATTTTTAATTCCTGTTGTGTGTAACTATGCTCGTTGAAATGTCGATATCAGACGATAGGTTTAAAATAGTTGGGTGTTCCCGATATCAAATGAATAGGCCTACTGACTTTTATTTTTAATTTTTACAAGGCGCTACGCTCATCCAAAACATATGTGGTGTTGCCAATCTGAAATAAACAAGTTTACCAAAATATGTTTAACAGAAATATCAGTAGGCCTAGTGAACCTGTTAAATTCAAAAGTGCTAGATTTATTGAAAAACAAAAACCCCGCTGGGGGAATCAGCCTAAAATAAGAGTACAGTTAACTTATAAGATTTCCCGTCGTGAATTTGAAGACGGTACCGGTACGGTTATCGAAAATAAATTTTGGATGTAGTCAGTTTGAATTAAATGTACCTGAATAAATCCCTAATATTCATGTATGTAAATTTTGCTTTATAATCATACAAATTATTTTATAAATTCTAAAAAAAAAAAAAAAAAAAAAAAAAAAAAAAGTAATAATAGTTCTAGTAATAATGCGGATAAAAAAAAGATAATAATAAATATAATAATAAAATAAAAATAATAACAATAATAATAATATAATAATAATAATTTATTATTGTTATTATTATTATATTATTATTACAGTGTATTATTATTTAATAGTGGTACTCAATATTCAATTTCGATTCAATTGAATTGTCATTTGGGTAATGGGTAAAAGCGATCGCGATTCATTTAGGCAATTCCGTATGGGTTTTCATTTGGGTAATTCCGTATAATCTGGGTATAATTTGGGTAATTCGTAGGACCGTTAAGGAGTACAGGTCTCCCTCTAATTAAAGACCCTTCCATTTACTCCAATAAAAGACCATATTCCCGTGGTCCTGAATTAACAATTGTCTTTTATCTTTTTATCATTCAAATAAGAGATCAAATCTGCTAAAGAAATGAAAACCCCGGTCCCAAAAGTGGTCTTTAATTGGAGGGAGAGACCTAGTATTATATATTTACTAACTTCAAGAGCGTCTAGATTAAATTTGATTTGGATTGATCGGCATTCATTCTCAAAAAACTGCAACTGAATAAAGCTTGGAGTCAGGCCATATCCTTGACGAGACCTATGCTTGAAGTATGCTTAAAGTCAGGTCATAGTAAAGAATGAAAGGCTGAACTGCCTTAAAGAACGAATTCTGGCTTATAATGGGTATTGAATTGTAATAAGCTAGATTTTGGTGGGACTATAATCTGACTGGCCTGACTTTCCTACGTATTTCCTTGCATTTATAAAATAATATAGGCCCTTCATCCATTTAAAAAATGTTCTGCTAGAATCATCAAAAATGGGATCATTAGGCCTAATGAAGCAAAACGTATATAAGGTAAATATCACTCGTTGTTTTTGTACTGATCTTAGTCTTGTTATGTGTACCCCAAAATCATTAAGCATCAGGACATAAGCAGCTAACGGTCACTTTATTTTCACCATTGCCATTGTTTTATTATGTATCACATCATATAAGTAAATATCATATATTACCCATCATTATATCATATATAGGTAATAGGCCTATAAAAATATATCACATCATATATTACATCACATTATATCATATATCTGTATCATTTAAATCATTTCATTTTATTGTAAATTACGATACATTATATTACCTAGCAAAATGTTACATATATTATATATTGTAGGTTATAGCTTCTTCAATTTATTATATAATAATATTATCTTAATAGCTGTTCTCATCTGATGATGGTACATTTACTAATTTAACGGCTCCATAATCGCCGTAACTCATTGACGCGGAAAAATGAGATGCGTCGTTTTCTTCCTCCGATGATGAATTAATGCTTATGCCCACCAAACTATGATGATAACCATAAATGCCATATATTAACAACCCTATGGAAAAAAAATCCAAATATGGTGTATAATAATAACAATAAGATAAATTATACATATATAGGCCTATATATACATATATATATCGTATATACACATATATATATATATATACATATATATTCAAGTATATATATATCTATACACATTATATATATTCATATATATACACACATATATATATCATACACAGGCTTATATATATATATATCATATACATATATATATATTCATCTATATATATATATATATACATCTGAGACAAATAGAGAAATAATAACAGTGCTCAAATAATATATTACATAATATATAAATAAAAAAAGAAACACTACACCATCACCGCACCGTTTAAGGCAATTTAAGGCACAGGGGCCAGCCTATTCATTACTCACAGGTGCTCAAGTAATTGGGGGGGGGGGTATCTAGACCTAAATAATACTATCAAACTACCATATCTTATTATGCGTCTATTATCAATGTAGGCCGTAACTGTTCCGTCAATCCCCGGCCCTTTGATTGTTTCTAACGTCCCATGAAACGTCGTAGGCCTACACACGTTCGTTAGTGGGTCAACCGCAGCTGGCCCTTTTTTGATTATAGTCAATGGAGTTATGTTTGATAAAGTTTGATTAAAAGGACCATTCTTACCTAAAAATACCCACGCTATAAAACGAATCCATGTAAACACGGAAAGATTCACCAGTAGCACGATATTGCATAGCATTGCAAGGGCAGGAATGAAAGGAACAAAAGGTACCTAAAAAAGCAAATGGAGAGAAAAACTAATTCAATGATTACAGTATCCAGTTTTTAATATAATTATTATTTTTAACTTAATTACAAACACAGCTTTTAAACATTCATGACATTTAGCAAAAAGTGCCGTTATATTTTTTGTTTTGAAATGTCAATGCAAAATTCGTCATTTCTTACCTTAAACGATAATTTTTCATAATTCTGGTGATGCATCAATATGATAGTGAATGTCAATACTGATCCAAGAAGAAAAACTATGAATACTATGAAATATCCCCAGTGGCCATTCATGATGTCATTGGCAGAATGGCTGAGTAACGCAGTTGTACCAGCGCAGCATAACGCATAAACGACGGTAGATATTGCCACTGTACGTCCAGGAACGTCACTCTTTAGGAAAAGCAACATTTCAAATTGTGATTTAAGGGTTCCGCTAGTTTCGCCCATTTGGTCTTCATTCACACAAACCACTGGGACACAGTCTTGTTTGTTAAAGATGGTAGCATTTTCATTCTCAGGTCTGTATCGAAGCACAATAACAGAAGCTGAAACAATCGTGTAACAAAGAAGACTGCCTATGTTTAGAGATTCCACCAACGCGTTGAAATTTATAAACAAGACGATCACCATCGTAATTGCTCCGAATATCACAGTTGCCATCACAGGAGCCTGATTGCCAGAGGAAATGCGAGCGAGTGGTGAAAAGAGCAGTCCGTCGTTAGCCATAGCGTAAACAAGTCGTGGAAGAGTATGTAGCGATATCAAAATTGATCCAGCAACACTAAAAGACATTCCGACTAAAACAATGTATGTTGGAGCTATTTCTCCCATTTGTTTAAAAGCATCCGGAAATGGCATAATCGTATTTATTTCAGACCAAGGTACCAGCAACGTGATAGTGCTTGCCACTACCAAATTGACAACAGTGGATCCAACGACCACGAGCACCAAAGCCTTTGGAACACTTTTGGCGGGAGTCTCGCATTCTTCGCTAGACACACAGATAACTTCGAACCCGGCATAAAGAAAAAACAGTTTTGCAGATCCCGACACAACACCGCCGAATCCATTTGGGAAAAATCCACCATAATCCGTCCAGTTAGAAAAGTCTATAAAAACCGACCCATATGTTACCAGGATGAAAATACTGATTAAAGTGGATACAGTGATAATATTATTTATTGCCGAAGATAACTGTACTCCAAATAAGACAATTATAGTAAAAATTAAAATCATAAAAGCTGCAAGAAAATCTGGATAGCTTGCTAAAAATGGAGAGTTCCATTCTTTTCCACCCATTAGATAATCAACTGTTGCGTTTCGGATAGCATCATCAAACACCGTATCGATGAATGTGGCTAATGCGCGCGCAATGCTCCCAGACGCAGCCATAAATTCTAAGATCATGCTCCAGCCTATAATGAAAGCCCAGATCTCCCCGATGGTCAGGTAGGCATACAGGTAGGCACTGCCCGCTCGTGGTATCCTACAACATAATTCGGCGTAGCATACTGCAGACAATAAGGCTGACGATGTTGCTATCAATATTGATATATTGACAGCAGGGCCTGCGTTCTCGGCAGCTACAGCCCCTGTTAAGACATAAACACCTGCTCCAATAATATAACTTAATCCAACAAAAGTTAAATCGAATGTTGTTAAACATCTGTTCAATTTTGTGCTCAAAATATTGGTACAAATCTTCTTCCGTCGATTTATATTCTCGTAAATGATTTCTGTACTCTTCATTACTGTGCGTTTTAAGCTTTCCTTAGAATAGATTCTTTGTATTTACTATCTATTTGTAGAAAAAATATCATATAATTAAATCATTCTGCTGTATGATACATAACGAATGTGAATTTTAAATCGATGTAAAATACCAATACAAAAGCTTAATATTTACGATAATCTATTACTTCGTTCCCTGAGATGGTATTGCAATTCCAGAACGCAACTTGGGACCCACAGAAAAGAAGCGTGATTGCAGACCAACTCGGACAGCGGCTATGTTAGGCCTACTATAGGCCTACATGGCCACATTAGTCACTGGTGGCCATCAGATTGAGAGTGCTCAATGTTTTTTTCGTAGGAATAATTTGTTACAAGCTAGCTGGCAACTAGCCACGTTGAATTTTGGATTTAAGTGCCAAATTTGACCAAAAAATTGCAAATTTTACACGTTTGTACCCAAAAATTGTATTTTGAAGCTAGTCCGTTACTGGAGTTAAGATTCAATTTGAATGCATTGGTATCATACGAAAGCTATGGTGACACATTATGTTAATTGTAAGCTATCATTGCAACCTTTCATTTAATACTTTCTCAAAAACTGACCACATACAGAATAAAACACCTATAAAAAATTCAGATATATCCATTTTGTATTTTAGGAGTTTCAGTATGTCAAAGGTCATCATTTTGGGTCACAAAATTAACATAAAGTGTCCTCGTGCACATCGTTGGGTGCCTATAAAACGAAGACCGAAGACCCAAAAACGAAGCCCCCTATTTTTTCTCTTTCATTTTGATAATACGCCAGGCTCTTACAAAATCCAAATTACGAAAATTTGTTGGGCGTCTGCTTGTGAAATTTTCAAGGGTCTTCGTTTTATAGACACCCTATATGGGTGTCTACAAAACGAAGACCGAAGACCCGAAAAACGAAGACCTCCAGTTATTTCTTATTATCTTATTGAAAGTATTTCAAAATCATCATAAAACAGTTACCAAGTACCTATTTCATTATTTTATCGAAATAAAATGAGGAATATCAAGAAATACTTAAGGGTCTTCGTTTTATAGACACCCTGGGTCTACAAAACGAAGATCGAAGACCAGAAAAACGAAGACCCACATTTTTTTCTTTCAATCGTGGTGAAAATAATGTTTTTAAATCACTTCATGCTATATATTATGCCTATACAGTATATAGTATTCGTCTTCTTAGCACATTGTTGCCGGAATCTGAGTCAATTGAATGATTTACCCTTTATTCCAGTTCCAAAGCGGCAACCAATGTTGTACGTCCAAGGCTGGTGGCTGAGCGCGTCTTGGCGCTGCACCCTCTAACGGTACGCGTATTTTGGGGCCTACAAAAACCTTGAATACAGTATTTCATTCATAAACTAGTTCCATGTTAAAATAAACAGTAGGAATGTGGTATAGTGACGCATATGTGCAGCATCGGTCATTTGGTAGTGACACCAATATAGGATGGACGAGATAGGGTCTTCGTTTTATAGACACCCTGTGGGTGTCTACAAAACGAACACCGAAGACCCGAAAAACGAAGACCCACATTTTTTTTTCTCCCAATCGTGATAAAATAATGAAATATGTACTTGACCACTGTTTTATGATGATTTTGAAATACTTTCAATAAGATAATTGATAGATAATTGGAGGTCTTCGTTTTTCAGGTCTTCGGTCTTCGTTTTGTAGACACCCGATATAAGGTGTCTATAAAACGAAGACCCTAGACAATTTCACAAACAGACGCCCAAAAAATTTCGTAATTTTGATTTTGTGACATATTATCATCAAAATGGAAGAGAAAAAATAGGGGTCTTCGTTTTTGGATCGTCGGTCTATAGACACCCCACATCGTTTGATAGATGATGTTAATAGCTTTCGTAATACCAAATATATTCAATTTGAATCTTTCAATGGCAGATTAGCTTCAAAATACATTTTTTTCTCGGTAAAAATGTGTAAAACTTGCTATCTTTTCGTCAAATCGGGCACTTAAATCCAAAATTCAGTGGGGAAACAGCCCACTTCGCGTGTGTCAAGAGCTGGTAATGAGGATTCACCTTCTTGCCAGCTTGTAACACATTATCCCTACGAAAAGAAATACAATTGGCTTCTTTAATAGGCTGTCAGCAGTGATTAATAGGCAATATTAGGCCTAGGCCTATATAATTTAATTATACAATGCAATAATAATCATTGTCAAAACTCATCTGAAATTAACACTGATCATTAACTAGACCAATGCAGACATAATGCACTAAATTAAAATATAAAATTTCATCAGATAAAAACATATACATCAGAATATTGAATGATAAAAATATAGGCTATTTAAGAATATTGTTCAGTTTGAGAGATAAATAGGCCTAAATGAAATAAAAGTTCACATCATTAAAAAGCACAATACAACCAGTCAGTAGAATGGTTTTTCAAAACCATTATGTATTTATTTAATAATAATAATAATATCTTTAACCAGAATGACACAATTATTTGTGGAAATGTTTTTACATTGTGGTCCTGGATACTGTGATCAAAACGAAGTAAAAGCAGAAGGATAAAAAGACGATCTATTGTGAACAACTTATGAAGGCGTGTAATACGGTTATTGTTGCTAAAAATCCAGATTTATACAAGGCCGACACAATGACGGCTATTACTGGTGATATAATTATGAACTTAAAAACTATAAATTCGACACAAATAAATGTTTGCTGAGAATGTGTTTACGCCTACCGTCAATCGTCACAAACCTTATACTGAGAGTATAACTCAGACAACTAAATCTGATAACTACCGTTGTGTTGATCCCTACAATGCCTTTCAATAACCAACACCCAAATCGATACTGAATAGTTGCAGATAGCATATGTGACCTCGTCACAATGAAATCGTTAAATTTCGTTGCACATTTTGTTATTCAAATTGAAAGCATTATTTGCGCAATTTGAACATTATTATGCATAATAAAACGATTTAGTGCGGCATAGAATATACTAATGGAATAGCCTTATTCAGGCAAATTTTTCACTATTAGTAAGTAGAGAGGGCCCAGCCAAGGATAAGCTGCCATTTCGTCCTGTTAAGGTTTTCTCAGCGGTTTCATCATCCTGACCTCATCCTATTTGAAATATGCTTAGGGCCACCCAGATTTTTGCGTGAAATCCAAGATGGCCGCAAAAATCCAAAATGGCCGCCAAAATTAAAATTATTAGCGATATAAAACATATTTATTCGGTTTTGTCAACTTTTTAAAAGTGGAATTGCCACCTCGGACATAAGTCTTTCAAGATTAATCGAAGGCCACTCAGAATTTGGCCTTAAATCCAAAATGGCCGCCAAAATTGAAAATGGCCGCCAGAATTAACTCGGCCAATTTTACCTATTATTTGTTCATGTTAAAATTTTTAGGTGGATATGTGTGTGTATATATATATATATGTGTGTATATGTGTATATATATACACATATAAATATATTTATAGGCCTATAGATGAGGACAGCCTAGAAGCAAACTTGTCTCCGCTAGCCCTGGAACATGATTTACAATAAAAAAAAAAAAAATAAATAAATAAATAAATAAAAAATGGCAATAAGAAGCAGAAGTAGAACCAAAACAATAAAACTTAAATGACTTGGCAAAAAGTAAATCATAATAACATAAATAAGAAATATTAGTGGCCCCAATACCGAACCTTTGGGAATTCCACATTTAATTAATTTATAATTTCAATTTAAATTTTTAATATTGTTTTCTGTTGTGCAAAATGAATGAAAGCAATCAAAAGCAACGCCCCGGATTCCATATGCTAATAGTTTTTGTAGAAGTAGCTGATGGTTAATAAGATCAAATGCTTTTGATAAATCAAAAAAATACTAAGAAGCAGCATTTTATTTTCAAATGAATCTAAGATTTTGCTAACTAGTTCAATAATTGCATGTTCAGTTGTGTGTCTTTTACGAAAACCATATTGAGAACGTGTCAAGAAAGAAAGCTAGAGTCTAAAGTGCATAAGCCTGCCTATTATAGATATAATATACAAATAGATAGTTAATAATAACCTGGGTGCAGTATAAAAGTAAGTATAAGTAAATCATAGTGCACCAAAAAAAAAAAAAAAAAAAAAAATCCAAGCCCTAGGTATGGTGATTTTTGACTCGCTATAGATATTTTGAATCAGAAAAACCAAAAATAGATTTTACTGCACCTTTTTCCCGCTAAAGTTCCTTTCAGCAGTTCTACAACCAGGTTATAATAACAGAGCCCAGACAAGAACATAAGATGCTAAAATCGTATAAAGCATGGCCCTTCAACGAAGAGTCCCTTTCAGGGGCGAATCCAGTAGGGGTGGGGCACGGGAGAACGTGCCCCACCACCCGTCTTGCTACTAAATTTTAAAAATTTCAATGTAAATGCAATGTTATGTGCTACTCACCTATTCTGAAACTGGTCGGGGCACCTTTTTTTTTAGAGCATTACCACAAGACGGTTTATCAATCTCTATTATATCATGGATGTATATATATATGTATATATATATATATAT